TTATAGTAGAAGTTTTTACGGCGCTCGCAACTGCATAATGTCACATGAGCGCCATCTTAACAGTTTACCTTCGAACTAGTCAGACAATTGTTCCACTTGGCGGTTTACTAGTCGAATACCTAACCCCAACTCTAACCCTTACCCTAACCTTAATCAAAATGCCATAGCGGGTTAAAGTTAGGGTTGTGAATTGTAGTAGACTAGTTGATTGTTAAGTAGAGCCATTTTTAGACTGGGCCGGTGATAGCCTGTTAGGTAGAACAGAGACATCGTTGTAGAAGGTCAAGTATTGCATCGTTTGAGTTGAAAAGCAGCGCACGACACCAGACCACCATTATGAGAGAGATGCTTGAAGGAGGGTTGTGGGGCAGGAGAGCCAGACGAAGACAAAGAGTAACATGGATGGACAACATTAAAACATGGACTGGCCGGTGCAGAGCAGAATGTGCAACGGCAGTTCACGACCGTGAAGAACGGATGGAGGGTCATAACACGTCAACTTCTGAGTCGGAGATGACACTTCCAGGTATTCTAGGTAAGAGCAGGGCAGTGTGTGCTAGATACTGCACTAGGTAAGAGTCATCCAGTTACTGAGAATATCAAGATGGACGTTGGAAAAAAGCAGAAGGGCAGGAAAGACGCACAAACTGCCATTTTCTCCCTCTTACCACCGGCTTGCTTCTTTGCTTCTTTATTAATTATTTTTCTACATACACCAGAGACTTATATATAGGCAAGGCTATTCCCCTTGTTCGAAAAGGACGCGACTTTGAATCAATCTCAGGTGGGGACGTTATTTTAACACTCTCCTACGAATGTATGCCTTTCAGCCCAGTTTGGCCCCGACAGGCTGGGTCGAAGCAGCACGCATTGTTAACAACCGAATTAATATATTTTCTTCAATAAATGGCGGTGAAAGGGTTGGAAACCATTTTCCCCGTTTCTTCTTTCTTTGCTGGGTAGCTTTCTGTGACTGACTAGGTGCTTAATTAATTGCGCTGGGAGAGGAGGAATGAAAAGCGTTCGTTATCGATTAGCGTATTGTTTGGATAAGTGATTAGTTTAGATGTTGTCACTCATTGTCAAGAATATTAGAAGGTGAGCGGAGGGAACCGTTAGTTAGACCTTGGATTATAACTGTACAACGATGAGGCGATGAATGGATGTGTGAGTGAGTGAGTGAGTGAGTGAGTGAGTGAGTGAGTGAGTGAGTGAGTGAGTG